ATTTCAGCATTTTGCAGATGCTTTTATACAATTTTAGGTTGATTAAAGGTTTTGAATGTGATTGAATCAAACTCATGACTTTGACATTGCAAGTGCCGAAACATCACATGATGCCACATAAAAACAAACTAATAATACTAAAGATTCTAAACATGATGGCAATTATGTACCTTGTAGATTATTTTGATCTGTTCTTCTGTCCACCCTGAAGGCCCATCGACCGGGAACATTTACATTACTGGTGTTCTTAAGGTTTGGAATAACATTCCCATCGATTGATCCAGGAATCACAAAGTAGGCCGTGGAGTTTACCGTGTCATAACCAGCCTGCACAAACAAGGGAATGACCAATTATTGAGACAGAACATCAAGAAGAGATAGGCGTATTTTGATGTATAAGGCATGTTTTACCTGCACCGCAATTTGTACCAAAGCGAAGTCACCATAAAAAGTCACCGCCCAAAATTAACACCACTTGAATTGATGTTTCCTGCAAAGTTTGGGAACACTGAATGTCACAGCAGCTCTGAGAATACTGTAACCTTGAGCCTGAAGGAGTTTTAACAAACTAACTTACTGTGCCAGAGTGATAAAAGTATGCAACTCTATCCCAAGTAGCAACAAGGACCCAAGTAGCCATGAAGCTCATGTGACCTTACGAAACTTTGACCAGATAGGCTTGAAAGGTTCTTGACTTCGCCACCTGGTGCCTCTCACACCAAGATATACTTTGCACATTAACTGCTGAATACCTAATCTAAGGCAAGCAGGTTCATAGAAATACACCAAAGATGAACTAGACAGAGACGTGCTTTCAGTAGAAAAATAACAGTACTTTATTAGTCAATAGTATAATTAAAAGAGCCACACCGTCATGATATAGGCACAGTAGGTGGAAACGAAAAGGCTTGGCCTAAAGGGAGAGACCAAGACTGGTATTGGCTGCTACCAGGGACAATAATAAGCATTTTAACAGGATAATACTGATTCACTGTCAAGGTAGGTTACCTGTCCGGGATAAGCGTGAAGTTCACCAACCGTGCTCTGAACTCTGGTGCCTACAGTCAAATGCATACACACACACACACCAGCATAGGCACAACCACTACAAGCAAGTGATTCAATCAATATTGTGAGGTGTGGTTTACCACTACAATATGCGGTGCAGTGCGCGAAGACGGACCCAGGAACCTCTCCTGTGAGCAGCTGCTCTAGTACTCTGGAGAAGGGGGACAAGGTCGAAGAAGTTGTTATCATTAGCAGGATGATTAGAGTATACAGCTGGGCAGAATCTTAACAGGAATATGTAAGCTACTGGAACAGCCAACACCACATCAGTCGGATGGGGGCACTAGACGGAGGCCACTGCAACATAACCAAACAAAAGAAAGAAAAGAAGAAAATATAAAGAAAGGAAAAAACTATCAATAGGGCTTGGGCGCCGCGTTGCATTCTGGGACGTGGCGGCCATGTTGACAGCTTCGCGAATGTAAAAATACAGCAAGTCGAACGAGGAGAAGCAGCAGAGTTGGGAGAAAGTAAGTTAAAAATATGTTGAAATCCCTAAAAGGATGCTGAATTTACCGGCATACGTTTAATAGGGAAACCAGGGACCGGTATGTGGACAAAACCGGCGCTTTTAACGGTTTGGATCCATTTGAAATTTCCAACAAACAGTGGGAGCACAGTAACTTAATCCGGACAAAGGTAAACTGCACTCCACCTAGCTGCTAGTTTAGTAACAGTTATAGTGCTAACAACCATTCACACGTGTAACGTACTTTTAACTATGTGTTTCAAAAGTGTAGTTAGTAGCTGTTTTAAGCAAAACTTAAGTTAGTAAGCTAAACGATGCTTAAAGCAAGGGGGTAGCAACAGGACAACAGTACAGAGACTGACAGGTCCGATTGAGGGGCTAATGTTAATGTTATGAGAATATTAAAATACGGGATATTTTACAGGAAAATACTAAAACGGGAAGACAGCGGGAAAAGAGCTCAAATACGTGAGAAACCCGGAAAAAACGGGAGGGTTGACAGCTAACGTTACTAACTAACGAACACTTTTGAAACACATAGTTAAACGTACACAGTGAATGATTGTTAGCACTAACAGTTACTAAACTAGCAGCTAGGTGGAGCGCATCTTAACGTTACCTTTGACCGGATTACTGTGTTCCCACTGTTTGCCGACTCTTTGTTGGAAATTTCATATGGATCCAAACCGATAAAAGTGCCGGTTTTGTCCACATACCGGTCTCTGGCTTCCCTATTTAACATATTCCGGTAAATTCCACATCCTTTTAGGGATTTTAACATCTTTTTTCTTTTCTTTATCCCAACTCTGCTGCTTCTCCTCGTTCGACTTGCTGTATGTTTACATGCGCGAAGCTGTCAACATGGCCGCCACGCCAGTAATGACGTCACGACGCCCAATCCCTATACACTTAATTTAAGCTAGGCAAAGCAGCAGGAGCAATGTGACACACGAAATGAGACAGTGGAAAAACAGCCCTTGCGCCAGTCTTCACAATCCTTTTAGATGTTCCGTCTTAATTGTGGTACAGCTACCCGGCGAGTGCCTTGCCCATGACCTTCGTACACAGCACGACTACCCGGAAGCACCTGGCAATCAGTCTGACACCTTGGTTGCACAGGGGAACCACGTATCCAAACGGTAACAAAACTGTAGATTTATCTGGGCACCAGGGAATCTCTCTTAGCCCGACAGTGAGAACTGTTTTATAGAAACTGGCCTAGCTGCCAATGAATTGTTAGCCACTCGGCGGCTAACTGGGCACCGTGACATCAGGGGGCTACAGTAGCTGCAGAGGGACAAACTTACCTCAGAAAGTGACTACTCTGCCGGTTACACTTAGATACGGGAAATACAGAAACAATCTGTAGGTGACTTGACTTGATGAACACCACTGAAACCCAAGTCACTTTCATTGTGCCTAAAACCCAAGGTTGGCAAAAACTAAACTAAAACATACCTGGCAATCCACCTACACTACCTTCATGGTAAAGGCCTCAGATCTAAGCAATGTCACGCGTTTTTTAGGCCAAAACATTTTTTGTCACATACAGCAAACATCTCCTCACTATCTGCAAGCTGCCTGTCCCCTGAACACACTGTAAAACGTGCACATACTCATGAAGGGGGGTGTGGAGGAGAGAGAAGCATGAAGAGGGAAGTTAGAATTATAACTCTTTAAGTTTGATATGGCCGACACACGAAAAAGAGACGACGTTCCGATGAACAGATAGCAAAGAAGAGGAAAAGCCTTCGAAAGGTGGCGAGAACTCCACCGGCAGAAGGGCTCCCAATCCGACATTCAGGAGCTCTGTTTCTGCTGGACAGGTCGGTAAATCAAGTTTGGTTTTTCTAAATGGACTTTCATGTTCGCCTAACACAAGTATATAATTAGCTAGAACTATACAGTCAGCGCTAACTTTGGTGAATACAACATATAGGTTTCTAGCAGCTAGCGATCGATCTCTATTGTAAATGGTCAAGCAAACTCACAGTAGGGCGACAGTTTGTGTGAATAATTGTTTTCACCAACTGTTTGTTATGAATTTGAATGTTCATTCATAGCCTATTGACAACTTTGACTAGATTTGTTTACAACGGAGACATTGTTTATGCTCACTGGGAAACGTGAAGCTAACGTTAGCTTGCTATTATTGCGTCCTCTTTTTCTGCATTATATGAAAGCTTTTATCTGACTTGGTGACATTACACCTTGAATGAAATATCAGTAAAAAAAAAAACCTACAGGGGTACGGGATGAGGAGGAGGGTCTAGCTAGCCTCCATTTTGTTTGACAATACTTAGAAAGTCAACAAAAAGTGACGTCACCCAACATCGCTTAGAGCACCTTTAATGAGTGTGTTGCAATTCAGATGTTATGTGTCCTCCTTAATTCTTACAGACTTTAGCCCCACCTACTGGATGAGTTTAACATTACAGATGGCAGGGAGGTGTAAAGTCCAGGTTCAGAAAGTAAAAGTCCTCCTCAGTATTTTGTTCCAATCACCTGGATTTGCTAATTAGCGAAGTTTTTCAGCCAGGGAATAGAACTAATTAGTGAAATCAGCTGGCTGAGTTCATGGGTGGAATAGACATATGGCAGGACTTTTACTTTCTGACCCCTGGACTTTACACCTCTGTCAGATGGAGATTCTTCTTTTTCTTCTACTTTTTAAAAACTTCATTTGTTATGGCACACCAAATCAGGTTTCCTCAGCTGTGCCTTAAACAAAAGTGGGCCAAATAAAATATTTTATTTGCTACAACAACTGTTCCACCAATGGTTTCTGCAAGTTTTCAACTCCTTGTTTGACTATCTCTTTTTTTGTTCTAAAAAAAATAAATGAATGCACAATCAAATAAACAAGCTTTGAATAAACTTTGAACAAGCTTCCTATCTTTTTTTTGTGGTTGACGTCAAAGCTTGTGTATCAGACTGGTATTTTGGCACACAATATTTTTTTAATTCTAGAAGCAAGTCAGATTGCCAGCATAAACATGACGTTGTCAAAAACCATAAACAAAACTGTAATATTGTGACAGACTATATTAAATATTAGGGGTTGTTACAGTGTTGCAAACCAGCTGTAAGCTGCTGTCCTCAAGTTCTATGGTTAAAAATATATTAATTTCCATGCAGGTATTTTTGATATGGATGAGTAATGCTTCTGGTAACTGGAGTTGTAGACAAAGAACAGGTTTATTAGCATTGTTCACATGCTATAGTTCAAGTTGAAAACCCTGATACTTGTTAAAGATATTTGATAACACAAAGCATGATAGGACAAAGAAAAAAAAAAAGAATTAATGATTATTATTCAAGATAAATTAGGTTGGAACATATATGATTAATGTAATGAATCATTTCATTATCTAATTTATCATATTCACATTGTCATTTTTTCATCATATTTCATTATGTTCATTTATGTTTGTGTGTGGATGATCTGTGTGTTGTATATATATATATATGTATATGTATGTGAGAATAAGAAGTGGAAGGGTGAGAAAATATAAAGGTTCCCTTCCTGCAGAGTGACATTCTTCTCTTTATCAGTTTCTACATATTCAAGGTCACCATTTGAAACGGTTTAAGTCTTGTATTACAGCTGTGTCTTTTTGACTTTTCTTAACTTCATCTCAACGGAACTTGACACTCCACGATTGACCAGCTCTTGTTTGATCTGAAATGAAGATTAACAGATGTATTTTATTTCCATTGTACTCTATTGGTTATGCAAGTCTGTAAAAAAAAAATTGTGAGATTGTTGAAAATAATAAATAAAGTCACAACTGTCAGAAATAAAGTCAGAGATATACGATTAGAGATATAAAGGTTTTTTTTCTTTTTACTCTGAGGCAGAAATGTGCTTCCATACAACAACTTTTGTGTGAAAAGTGTGACTTACTTGCTGCAAAACAACCTCAGCGTTTCCAGGCTGTGTCAGGTCTAAAAATGAACTAAGTTTCATTTGAACTCCTATGACATTTTCTAAAAGGAAACGCACACATAATAAGACATAACACACACACACATACAATATATATAGATATACATACGATAACAAACACACAATACTAACACAAACTCCTACCTGTTCCGTTGTTCACAAGAAACGCCCAACGACCCGGAACATTTACGTTACTCGTGTTCTTGAGGTTTGGGAGGTTGCCATTAGAATCATAATGAATTACATGGTAGTCAGTGGAGTTTATTGTGTCATATCCAGCCTATTAAAACCATGAAAAATTAATGTTATGCAAGATACAGAGCCAATATAAAATATTATTTCAATCCTTTGATGTTTGTTTTACCTCCACTGGAAAATATGTACCAGCACAGTCACCATAATTCATCAGAATGAAAGAAAAATCACCTCCTGAAATTAAAACCAATTGAAAGGTGATTGCCTGAAAAAAACAACAACAACAGCATGATTCATAATCTACACAGTCTGTGACATTGTGCCTAAAAAAGTAAGAAACTATTTACCGGTGCTGAGTGAAGATTGAATACATTCATATCAGATGTTTGAACATAGTCCCATGTCGCAACAAAGACCCAAGAAGCAGAAAAGCCCATATGAGGGAAATACTGGTTTATATCCTGAGTGGCGCGAGTGAGCACACTTCCATTAGTGTACTGCTGATACCAGTATTTGCCTATACCAATGTCATCGAGATCAGTCCAGAGCGGAGCAATGAAATCTTCAGTTCCATATGCGGGAAATTGAGGAGGGTTAGCTTCTGGTAAAGCTCGGCTGAATGAAAGGAGTCCGTTATTATTAACCTGAAATAAGAGAAATCAGTTCAAATCCACCACTAAAGTATGAGCTGCTTATCATAACATTTGCATTCATATTAGACTAGCAATGGAACTGGAATTGGTGATAACTGGAATTCTCACGTATGCGTTGTTGTACTTGCGGCCAAAGAACATAAATGGCTTGGAGAAGGAAACGTATATGTAGGTTTCACCACCATTTTCTAACTGTTCTGTGTCTCCTGCCGCTGAGCCGAATGGATAGAATATCGCTGGTGCTGCAAATAGAATCAACACAAAAAATACAAATGAAGATGTGAGTGTTTACAAGTCAGAATCTCAATTACGATGATTCCGACATGAACGAACCATTAATTCAAAAGTCAATAAATACCTGTCCATGCAGTTGTTGTTGGAATGGCTGTTAAAGAAAAAGAGTATATAATTATTAAACACTTCTGTAAATTACATTGAAAGATGCATTGCACAGTCATATGATGAGTCGTCTAACAGTAGCAGCATTTTTACTTGTTGAGACTGTGGTGGTTGTTGCTGTGGTGGTTGCTATGGTGGTTGTTGCTGTGGTGGTTGCTATGGTGGTTGCTGAAAGAATAAACACAAATACCATTAAATACCTCATGAACAAACTTAAAGATTGTAAATGTGTTTCCTATGTATAACATAGTGGTGACAATAATGGGTTATCCATGACTCGCAGCCGTATTACCTGGTAGGACGGTGGTGGTTTCAGTGGTGGTTTCTGAAAGAATGAACACAAATACAAACACCATTAGATACCTCATGAACTCACTTGACGAGTGCAGCTTTCTTTTTCTGTTTCTGTATTTTCTATTGGGATATAAAAACAGGAAGTTGGGATATAAACAACCCCAACAACAATTGAATAATGCACTGATCTATGCTTTACTACTTGCTATTGCTAGTCAGAGGTGCTTTTAGGAGGAGGGACATTAGAGAGATATTTGATTGGACAAAAAAAAATACATTGAGTCATGTATAAGGACTATGTACAGTATTTTTGGTCCCTTTTCTTAGAAGAGAAAGACTTTACATTTGAAATGTGTAATGTATATCAGGTAAACATTTATTTGGTCTTCACTCACACACTCAATTTGAATAATGCACTGATCTATGGTTTGATACTTGCTATTGCTAGTCAGAGGTGCTTTTAGGAGGAGGGACATTCATATTCTAGAGAAATTTTGATTGGACAAAAATGTAATATTGGGTCATTTATAAGGACTATGTACAGTATTTTTGGACCCTTTCCTTAGAATAGAAAGACATACATTTGCAGCCAAAGACTTTGATAAACTCATGACGAATTACCTGGTGTTAGGACTGTGGTGGTTTCAGTGGTGGTTTCTGAAAGAATGAACACAAATACAAACACCATTAAATACCTCATGAACACACTTGACGAGTGCGGCTTTCTTTTTCTGTTTCTGTGTTTTCTATTGGGATATAAAAACAGGAAGTTGGGATATAAACAACCCCAATAACAATTGAATAATGCACCATTCTATGGTTTGCTACTTGCTATTGCTAGTCAGAGGTGCTTTTAGGAGGAGGGACATTCATATTCTAGAGAGATTTTGATTGGACAAAAATTTAATATTGGGTCATTTAAAAGGACTACGTACAGTATTTTTGGACCCTTTTCTTAGAATAAAAAGACATACATTTGAAATGTGTATATTAGCTAAACATTTATTTTGTCTTCACTCTTACTCTAACATAAAGATAAGCTTATTCCCCTGTAGGACTGCGGTGGTTTCAGTGGTGGTGGTTTCTGAAAGAATGAACACAAATACAAACGCCATTAAATTCCTAATAAACTCACTTGACAAGAACAGTTTTCTTTCCTAATGAAGATGCTCACTGACTTCTCAGCTTCATATTGGGTTTGTTCAACTGACACCAGGGACAACATTTTATAAACAGATATGGTTCTAATCTAAAGGTCTAAGTACCTCACAATGTTCTAGAGAGAATTTAATTGGACAAATAATTATCTATTGAGTCATGTATGAGGAGTCATCTATATTTTTGTCTTTTTTCTTGGAAGAGAAGCGGGGTCAATCCATCTCAAGTGGTCCAATGGAAGGGGTAATATAAGCTTAACGAATACTGTAATTTAGTGTATGAGTTAAGACAAAAGTTTATTATGAGCTCAAGAATAACAGACCTCAGCTAAAAGCAACAAAATACCTTTTCTGAAGAGACATGATCTCTTTATATGATGAACAGATTGAAAGTAGGCTTTTTTCCCCTTTTTTTTTTTACATATAAACATTTATCAACTCATTTATCAGTTGTGGTAAACGGAAGCTTAAACATGCTTTGAGCTTCTGCAAGAACCAATGATCACGACTGAAGGGGTTGAAGGCTTTGCGTCTGTCCTAACAATGTCCTTCAGCCATGACTGGGTTTACAATACAGCACGGCCCTCATTCCTTATTGCTTATTATGTATTCTGTAAACTACATAAAAACATTGCATAGGCGTGTGATGAGTTATCTATCAATTACAGCATTATTACCTAGTAGAACTGTGTGGGTGGTTTCTGAAAGAAACAAATAAAATACCTCATGAATTTAGGCTACTTGATAACAGTTTTCTTTTTCTGTATTCCAGTTTAATCATGCATTGATCCATGATTTTTCTACTTGCCACTGATAGTCAGAGAAGCATTAGATTGGACAAATGTATATTGAGCCATCTTATGATAACACATATTTTTGGTTATTTTTCTAGAAAAGAAAGACAGAACATTTCGGTTTCATTCAGTATAATTTTGGGTTTGTTCAATTGACACCATTTGGCGACAGCCTATAAGTACTGGCCAGTGTTTTTGTTTGTGCATGCATTGTTGTAATGCTTAAGACATTAAAAAACACTTCTGTAAACTACATAAAAATATTATGCATGAGGAATCATCCATCACTCACAACACTGTTCAAACATACAGTAGGTGACATTTTAAGGTTTTTAGGAGAAAAATAGTTTTGAAGGATCTTGTCATGAAGTTGGGTGAACGAACCCAAATGCAGACGATATGCAGACAAACAGGGATTTATTGAGGCACAAAACAGAAAACAAAAACCCACGAGGGGGCAAAACAGGACTGGACCAGAGCACAACAAAACTAAGACACGATGACAAACAAAATACTGACTTGACAAGAAGCAAACTCACAATTAATAGAACAGGGGCCTGTTTCAATAAGGAGGTTCAACCAACTCTGAGTTAAAACTTGAACTCTGAGTTGACTTACTCTGAGATGGGAAACTCTGAGTTTTCGGTTACAGAACAGCTGAAATTAGTTGGTTCAATCAACTCTAAGTTGACTGACTCTGAGTTAAGCGCGTGCACCACAACTATAAAAAGCCATTATCAATGGAGCGCAGATATTACGAGTCACCATGGCAACAGTGCCAGACAAAAAGAGGAATTACTGTTATACAGTGTAGGGTGTAATTAATTGCCAAGTAATCTAAATATTGTAATTTAATTAAAGGGATTACTCTTAATTCTTCTTTAATTTAAAATAAAATCTGATGTAATTGCATTAAATACTGCATAGACTATAGAACAATTCTGTTTAAAACAATAGTGGATTTAACATACATTTTTAAAAGGCATATTTTTAATGTAACCTTCTGCCTCTACACACTTTGGTCAATTCAAGAATAATTCATGCAATTGTATATTGTTCATTTAAAAGCATTACAAGTGCAGTTTCTTGTCTCTCCTTGTATTGTTCAAGTGGTTGAGGTTGATATGGGATTTAGTAATTAGTAATAAGTAGACCAATACTTTCTAAAGATAGTAATTATTACATGAATCTAATTACACTGTTGAAGATGTCATTTGTAGTTAGTAATTAATAACTATTTTAGAGTAACTTACCCAACTGTTATAATATCAGAGGTGAAACTGGAAGAACAGTAGCCTATGTTATTCAACCTAATTTTAATTTTCATGGGGCAATCCTGCAGGCATTAAAAGAACGTGGCAGCAGCTGAAAATGAAATATATAAACATAATTCAATCAGGTAAGGCTTGAGCATTTCATGGGTGTAGGCTACCTGACTTTACAAATATTTGACATATTAAATGACTAAATAGCATCCAGTGTCTAGCAGTGGAGCAGTATTTCTGGCTGAGGGAATTCCTTCATCAGAGCCAGTCACTCCCGAAGATCCAAGCCTTCATAAATGTAAGAGCTAAGAGGTCTACTACATATGTGTTATTTTTTATATAGGGTATTTTTGATATTTCCATTTATTTTACTTTGGGTTGGGTTTTTCGTTGGTCCCAACAGATTCTGATGGTAATATCTGTCTTTTGGAGCCTCCTGTCCCAACAGAACCCCATGCAGTTGTAAGTAGCCTACTCAATACACCAGAAATTATGAAAAATAGTAGGCCTAAACTTCATAAATAGTAGGGACACACTTCAGTGTGTAATGCCACTGAATTTGTAGAATTTGTTTAGAACTAACGGACTTGGAAAGAGTAATACAATATTTTACTCAAGTAAAAATACTATTACTTTGATAAAATTGTACTTAAGTAGCTACAAATAAAAGTACCGGTCTAAAAATCTACTCAAGTAAAAGTAAAAAGTAGCTCATTTAAAATGTACTCAGAGTTGCTGAGTTACTTGTTTAACAGCGGGTGTGGGGTGGGGGACTCTCCCGTGTATAGGGTTGTATGAGAGTTTCACAGAAAATATCACGGTTTATGGTATTAAACAATTATTAAATATATAAACTGCATTATTAAATTACGGTTATTATTATCATCAGTTAAAATGACAGTTAAATAAATTAAACATTTGTTCAATAAAACATATCTAATCAACTAATTTTAATAATTGATTATGAATTAGATTAACAACTTATTTTTTTTATCATTAATAACTTATTAAAATGTTCAAAAATAATTGAGTTCTATGAAATGTTTTTTATTCAGATTTTTTTTAATTTTATGATTTAATACAAATATATTTTCAAAAACGGTGGTAATCAAATAGAAGTTTAGCAAACGTTTAAATCCTTTTATTTTTTGGCAAAGTGCTGCAAAACAGATTTAGTAAATTAAACCATGGACAAACAATTTATATTCCTTAAATAATGTTTAAATAAATTGTAGTATTATTGTTGGTGTTTAAACACTGCTTCCTCTTTAAAAAAGGGGAGGAGACCGCAAGAAACTCTGGGTTTACCGAAGAAAACCTGCTCCTGACCAGGTTAGGTTCACAGAGTAAGTTACCATGGTAACTGACTCGGAATATAAGTTACCTCTCTTTCAGAAACAGGCTTGACTTACTCTGCTTTCTCAGGTTTGACATACCTCCCATTCTGAAACGGAAAACCCAGAGTTTCCCTCATTTCAGGGTTAACCTACTCAGAGTTTTCACTTAACCTCCTTTCTGAAACGGGCCCCAGGTCTTCAGGTGAAATACTCACAGGGATATACACGCAAAGTTAGACAATGTACCGACACAGGACAGCAAACACAAGGGGATTAAATAGGGGGAAACAC